GTCTAGGGTTAAATACAGCAAAGAGCATTAGCTTATACCTGAAATAATGAGCTAGAACAAAAACATTATCTGCACATAATCAAGCCTCTAAGCCATTCAGAGACACCAGATACACACAGCAGGAGATCAAACTACAGCGCTCCACTGAAGTGGTCAAAAAAAACCCCCAAAACCCTGCTAGAAAGGAGAGGTCACAGGTATTTTAAAGAACATAGATCTTATGCAGGGCATTCGCCGCCCCCCCCCCCCCCCCCCCCCCCCCGCAATTAGCCTTCAGGCTGCTTGATTAGCTGGCAAACTCTTTGAAAGGGTCAGTCTGTCCAGAACTGGTATTTCCACTTGGGAAACAGCTCAGGCATGTCATATACCTGTGCTCGCCGAGCTCTCCGGCTGACGGCTGCGATCCCTGTTATTACTTGACACAAGAATGTCAGAGAGGTTTTGTAATCGCGTAGGGCAGCCAGCAGTAAAGTTCTTGCCTGAAACACGGTATTTTACAGGGCACAACATAACTGCGTACACTTTATAGATTCAGTTAGAATGATTTCCAAACTTCAAGCCAAATTGCAGAGGTGCAGCGAGTCTTTAATTGAAGTAATTTACCTCTAGTGCTCCAACACCCGAAAAGGACAGTACTTTTGGAGGGAGACGGGGAGCAGGGACCAGCACGTGGCAGCACACAGCAGAGGGGGTTCGCACGGCACGCATTAGGGCACAGCTCAATAGCGTTTTTGGCAAGACCGCTTTACCTCAATGAAACACATCTAATGAACTTGGGCTTGTTCCACAGTTAAGCTGCACCTAAACCCGTTTAATTGTGCTCTTGCTGTATATTTCACCACTATGGCAACTAACACAACTAAAGCCAATTTGACTTATAAAAAAAAAAGGAAAAAAAAAAAAAAGAAGAGGATCACTGCCAGGAAACAGAGCTATTTTAAATAAACAAATACAAGATGAATGCAATTGCCATATTAACCCTCTTGTTAACTTCTGAAGTTTAAAATTACACCCTCATTACTAGTGTGTAATTGAGTATTCTCCTGGCTGTTTCCTGCATTTGAGGTTATTCAAATAGTTCATTAGCACATCAAGAACACCACACACACTAACGATACCTGACGCCCTTATCTACTATTTTGGCCCGACCTTTCATAACTCACATCTCCCGCAAAAAAAAGAAAGAAAAAAGGGGGAAAAGAAAGAAAAAGAAGGGAAGAGGGGAGCCTGCAGGGCTGAGCCATCGGCGCCCAGGGGGAGCAGGGCAGCACACAGGCACCTCTCACATCCAACCCGCAGGCACGCAGTGAGTGGCCACCGGACTGGTGGTGGGGGCTGAGGAACTTGGGGGGTGAAGAAGTTGGATAACTTGCGTCCGGGCTCGTTGGGTGCCTGAACAG